ATAGGGTAGAATAATGGCAGTTTTTTTTCTGTTATTTACCTATTATTCACCTTTTATTCATTCATTCGACCTGTGTTAATATTAAAAAATTGGAGATTGGTGAGTTAGATTAAGGTCTTTTGGTTCTAAGACTAGGATTTTTTTTAGGATCCAGACTTATAACTTTGTTTCTTTCTGCATTTGATACTTTTGCTTTACCCTTGTGTTTTTTCTTTGACATCACCAATTGAAATTCATTGACATTATTGCTGATGAAAGAAGATTCAGCAACCTTGGAGTCATTATAGAGGGTGGTTAGTAGATCTACTATCATGTTGGTATCTATAGTATGATTTTCCATTAAAGAATTGTTTAGTTCCTTTGAAGTATCTTCAGTTGGTTTTTTTTTTAGCTGTCTCAGCCTTAATCTGAGGCTGATCTATATTGATATAACTATCCAGATTTATATCTGTTGAGATTTGCACAGGTCAAATGAATGAATAAAGGGTAAATAATAGGTAAATAACAGAAAAAAAACTGCTATTATTCTATCCTATATCCACTAAATAATGGCAGCATAACAGCAGCATAACAGCAGAATAATAGTAAAATAACAGAAGGTTTGTTAATATAAGTAACATAATAGTAACATAATAGCAAAATAATAGAACAGTTCTATTATTTTACTTTTAGTCTTTGTAACTAAAAGTAAAATAATAAAACTATTCAATTATTTTGCTATTATTTTACTACAGTCAAACCTCTATATATACACTCCCTCGAAACTAACCATAAGGTGCATTTGTGGAGGGTGTGCATTTATAGAAAGTAGTTTTGTAAGTGTTATTATTAGTTGGGACTGAGGTATAGGGTGCAATTATAAAGGGTATATATTTATAGAGCATGCATATATGGAGGTTTGACTGTATTATATTACTTATATTAACAAACCTCTTATTATTTTATTGTTATTCTGTTATTATAGTGCTGTTATGCTGCCATTATTTAGCAGATATAGAGTAGAATAATGGCAGATTTTTTTTTGTTATTTATCTATTATTCATTCTTTATTTATCATTCAACCTGTGTAGTTAAGTTGTAAACCTTAAAATACAATAAAGTATTTAAATTTTGTGATAAATTTGATAGTTATAATAAAATAAAAACTTTATAATAGTATTGTAACTAATTTTTTAGATAACAAAATAGTAATAATATTAATAAGTTTATTTAGTATTAGGTTTATTAAAATAGAGAAGACTATAATATGCTATTTAGTAGCTTAATTTGATAGTAAAAATTAATTATAATATTTAATATAGTATTAAAAATAGTTGTATTAAATTTGTATTATAATAAAATATTTATAAGACTATATAATAATTAATTAGATAAACAGATTTTTTAGTAAAAGTAAGAGCTAATTTAGTATCATTAGTAAGAATATAAATAATATTATTTATATAAAATATATAAAATAAAAAATTATCTAATAAAATTTTAATTTTAAAAAATTTAATAGTTAAGTACTAAAAGCTATATAAGAAGTTTAAAGTTTTTTAATTATTGTTATTATATAATTAGATAGCTTGTCAGTTAACTTGATTAAGAATTTTGTGCTATTTTTAAAAATAGTTTTATATAATTCAAATACATAAATATATCTATAACATATTATGCAAATACTATAATAAAAAATAATTCTAATAAAAAGTTCTTGAAAGTTTTTTTTTTTTTTTTTTTAATATTAATGATGAGGCCATGCCTCTATCTTTATTGAATATTTATTTAAAATTTTTATATAAAGCATAAATTTACTTTTAAAAATATTATAAAAAGAATAGAAGCTTAGACTAGTTTATCTGTGATCTAAACCAACAGGAGTGACCAAGGCTTACCTAAATTTGGATGTTTGTAATAATATATAAAAGGTTAGTTTGGTATTTTATCTATTATATATATCAGAAATTAATTTTAGAGCACATTAAATTAGAAAGAAAAGATTGAGGTGAATGTGAAATAAGATTAGAAGGTAAATTGAAAGTGGAAGAATGAGCTGTTGATCTTAAAATACAGTAAGGAATACAAATTTTATGATATACTTGTTGATTAAGATAAAGTAAAAACTTTATAATAAGTGTTATAGCTATTTATTTAGATGATAAGTTTGAGACAATAGAAATAATTTTATTTAATACTAGGCCTGATAGAGTTGAAAAGACTGATGGTAGGTCTACTGTGTTGTGTGTGGTTATACAATACAGTTGTCTAATTTGGCAGTGAAGTTCAATTATAGTTTCAGAAGTAGTATTGAGTGTGTTTGTGTTTAGAGCATGTTGTAATGAACTGTTGATAAGGTTGTATAGCAGTTGATCGGATGAACATATTATCCAATGAAGGTTAGAACTGGTTTCATGGCATTGGTAACAAGTTGGTGAATATAAGTGATATCATTTTTGTAGAGTATGTAAAGTAGGAAGAACATCAAGTAGGATTTAAATTCTAAAAGATTTATGAACAGAAGATTGGAAGCTATGTGAAAAGTTTGAGATTTTTTGATTGTTGTTAATATATAGTCAAGTAGCTTGCCAATTGATTTTGTTGAAGATTTTGTTCCACTTTTGAAATCAGTTTTGTGTTGTCTATAAAGCATAAATATATGCATGACAAATTGTATGAATACTGCGATGAATAGGTAATTATAAAGAGAAGTTTTTAAGATTTAGAGTATAAGATGGATTATAAATATTGTATGACATAAAAGTTAGATATAGTAGGTTATAATGGTTTCATGCTAGTTGGTCAGCAAGGTTGTTGTACATGTTGTCTTAA